CCCCCAATATTGATTACTTCCGTTGGCCTAGACTTGCCCACAAGTGGATCTGTTCTCCGTATATCTTCTTGTTCCAATTAGGTGTACATGGTCAGAATAATCTGTTGTCTTTATCCTTTCCTTTTGAAATTCCCACTGTTCTCCATGCAATCCACTCAATAAATGTTTTATGACGTTTTATATTCTTTTTTTTTCTTATTTGTTCCTAGAAAACTGTCTCTGAAGTCAAAGATATGGGCAGTAAGTTATTTTGTTCTATATTTTTGTTTATGTTTAATGTAAACTTGTGCAGGGTGAAGTCATTGAATTTTTGGATAATTAAGCAATCATCCTGTCCGTACTGTTCAAATATGAATAAGCAAACAGGATTTAAAATAGCGGCCGGCTGCCAAGAGCATTTTCACAGTGCTAGCCGGCAACTTCTAAATTAGCAACAACAGGTTTTTCTTCTTAAACCATTGATCTACGATTAATTTACCAGTTTTGAAGTAAAAAGATGCTGTCTTGACATGAAAAGATAGAATTCTGCATTCTGGTAGCCATGAATTTCTGGTAGCATGACTGCATGAGCAATCGTAACTGTGTGATGACAATAAGTGCCCAGCATAATGACTATAATTTCATTTTGTGATCTTATGGCTTATTTAATTACCTGCATTATCTATTATTAGATTACACTGATATCGAAGGAACTAGACTCAGTTCCGAAATATCGCATACTCGAACCGTCCTGACCGCGTAGCTCAGTTGGAAGAGCATTGGGCTAGTATTCCAAAGGTCGTATGTTCGAATCCCGCCGTGGCCAGGCATATTTTTCAAGCCTGCCCGGTGTGGATATACACTCAGAGTAACATCACACAAGCATCTTATTCACCTGAGTACATTCCACCAACACAGCAGATTTCATAAATATTAGATTACACTGATATCGAAGGAACTAGACTCAGTTCCGAAATATCGCTTACTCGAACCGTCCTGACCGCGTAGCTCAGTTGGAAGAGCATTGGGCTAGTATTCCAAAGGTGGTATGTTCGAATCCCGCCGTGGCCAGGAATATTTTTCAAGCCTGCCCGGTGTGGATATACACTCAGAATAACATCACACAAACATCTATTTTTGCCGTTGATTTTCATTTTTGAAAGAATTTTTGAAAAGATGTTTGAAAATATTTTTTATGATGTTTGTGATGTTACTCTGAGCGTGCATCCACACCGGACAAGCTGAAAAGTTTATAGCTTGGCCATGGTGGGAATCGGGGGATACTAGTCCAACGCTCTGCCAACTGAGCTACGTGGTCAAGTCGGTTGGAGTTGATGATCAGGAGTGGAAAATATAGCGGACCTCCACGACCAATGGTCCCAGAAAATATTTTATGCTGGCAGAAAGAAAAAAGGGAAGGAAGAAAAAGGGAGAAAGAAAGGAAAGAAAGAAAGAAAGGAAAAAAAGAAAGAGGGAGAGAAAGAAAGAAAGAAAGAAAGAAAGAAAGAAAGAAAGAAAGAAAGAAAGAAAGAAAGAAAGAAAGAAAGAAAGAAAGAAAGAAAGAAAGAAAGAAAAAAGAGAGTAACTGCACCAATAAGTAGCCATTTTGTTCAGGGACAGATACTAGGTGTAGGGGGTGCCCCCAAAATAATTTCTGAAAGAACTTTGATAGCGTAATGTAGCCTCATTTGCAGGCAACCTTGTTCTACCCCCTTTGTTGGCTCTGTATCATACCACTGCCCTGGTTCCAAAATTTACTATCTGTATCGTTCTTCTCCCTCCTTAATTTCGATTCCCAATCTTTATTTCTATAGGAAGTAGTAACAGTAACAGTAACAAATTACTTTATTAGCATGACTTTACATACAAGTATTGCTTATTAGTTGGTATAAATATTTACAAATGCAAAATGGTTTGTGGTAGTATGACATACTGTCAGTATCGAGTAATACAAGGAATACAAAATGAATTATTGGTATAAAGGAGTCTTAGCTAGTTTTCATACAAGTACCCTATTTACAGTATATAATTGAAGAAGTTTGGGTTTTAGTTGAACAGCCTATTGACTGTCAGCATTCACAGTTTCAAGGCATTTAAATCTTGTCTCAAAACAGAAAGAGATAAATTTCGATAATTTTATCAGTTTCATTATCAGTTGATTTCATTATCTCAACTGGTAAACTGTGTTAATTAGATGTGCTTCATTGGTGGGATCACATTCCAAGTAATTGCAAAAGTTTTCTCAAAGACTACTGTAGGCTTCACAGGAAGTTAGGAAGTGATGTTCCATTTCAACTTCTCCTGACTGCCAGACCTTGCATACTTGGTCTTGTTGCAGAATAAACAAAAGATGGACTTTTTTCCCCAAAGTGTCTGCCAGTATTTATATTATTTATATAAAGCACAACTAAAGGCAATCATAGTTACTAGAAAATAAACATTGTTAGGAAGATTGGTAAACTTCAAGTAGTTTCCTAACCAAACTTCAACTGATGTTGAAAACTTGAAATGTACCTGAAAGTACACAATTTGGTGATCAATATTAAAATCTTACAGTTGAAGTCTGAGGTTTCATTGGGCAATTGCTTCATTATACAGAACAAAATGTTCACTCGCTGTGAAAGAGCAGAAATTTTTATAAAGGCGGACAAAAACATAGAACTTACAATACCTTTTGTCCAGCTTCCAAATCATGTTTCTTTTCAGTCTGACTGCTAATTATGATGCAACTATTAATAAAGTTTAAAACCGCTTTCCAATTTTCACAAATTCACAGTCTTTCCTCACTTGATTATTTCAATTACATCCTTTCCTCAGTTGCTTTATGGAAGAAAATCTTCTACGACTGCCATGGTACTATGGTTATTTAATAATTCTTAAATCTTATTTGTCCTCTTGCAAGTGAGCTTTTAATTAATTTAGATTATACAGGATTTGTGTCGACAACTCGCAGAAAATTTTCCCACTTTTTGTTGCGGTCCCAGAAAATAAAATATTTTTTCCACCCCTGTTGATGATATTTCGGAACTGAGTCTAGTTCCTTCGATATCAGTGTATTCTATGATATGATTATTTTGTGTGTGTTGGTGTTGTGTACTCAGGTGAATATGATGTTTGTGATGTTACTCTGACTCTCTGAGTGTGCATCCACACCAGGGCAAGTTACTCGAACCGACTTGACCACGTAGCTCAGTTGGCAGAGTGTTAATTGGACTAGTATCCCAAAGATCGCGGGTTCGATTCCCACCGTGGCCAAGCTAACTGACTTTTCAGCTTGCCCGGTGTGGATGCACACTCAGAGTATAAACATCACAAACATATTCACCTGAGTACACAACACCAATATACACAAAATGATATTTTTTATGTTTAAAAAGATTTAAAGTTTGTTCGTTCACTGCAACCAGGTATATCAATCATGTTTCGCTCGCTACTCTGGTTTAAATAAATGATTACAAAGCCCAGTCGAATTGTAATCAAGACCCAACGTTTCGACACTCCAGTCTAGTGTCTTCATCAGGGGTGATCTAAAGATGCAATCGTGGCTTCTTAAATACCCAAGGATGACGTCACCTGCCAATGAGGTGCATACGTTTCTATTTTTGCTGCCTTTAATTTGGTGCAGCTTTTGTACATGGTGGGGGATATTTTCTGAGTAATCATTTCATGTTCATCTCATCAGAGCCTGAAATAAATCGTCAGTACAAAAAGGTGCATGCACCAACCAAAATATATATCTAAATTCAAATTATTCATAAATAAATAATTTGAATTTAGATATATTTAAATTAGTTGGTGCATGAAAACCCAAGAGCATTTCGAAAGATTTTCCCACAGTGATATTGTCTCAACATCAAATTGTGGCTCATTACAGGCACTTCAAAGTTTGCTAAGTTAGATGAACAATTAACAATTATTCGCTGAAGGCGAGGTGATTATTGGAGAATATTCGCAATGTGAATATTCCCCGATAATCACCGAGCCTGAGGCGAATAATTGTTTTAGTATTTTTACACAAGCTTTTGTGTTTTTTTGAGACTGAATTTATTTTAATTTCGCTTATTTCTTTGTCAGTAAACTTCCACAAAACAGCTAGCCGCCATTTTGAAAATTTCTGTTTTGTTATATTCACCTGTAGGTGAATATACAGCTTAGTACGTCAAATTTGACCAATCAACGTGTAGGATTTGTTATGTTCACTTGTGCAAAAGTATTAATGGTTATTGTTAGTTCTCTAACTCTCTAAGATACTGGTACCTCGATCTTAAACCAAATAATTTTATTCTTGCAGGGTGTTGTCAGTTTATTCACTTCTGGTAATCCAACTTTGTACAGTTTTCAGCAGTCACTGCCAAGGCTTCCTGTACCTTCACTCGACGCTACACTTGACAAGGTAATACCCAGTAACCAGGTGCGCCGGGCCTCCGTTGCCCAAACAACATGGGGACAACTGGTTGGCTTTTTTTACACGAACTACACTTCGTAAGTTGCGAGTTATTCACATGAATTGAAATTAAGAACTGTTTTCAAGCAATTTAACTCAAATTTGAATCTGAAATTCCGCTCGGAAATGTTACCAACGTTTCCACCTTTATGAAAAAAGTAAAATAAGCCTTCCTGAATAATTGACAAACTGTCATGTGTTGTACAATACATTTTTGTTCTTTAACATCATGCAAGCAACGAATAGAAATGTCCCATGCAGTCAAAGCCGAAATTTGTCTAACTACATTGGCTACGAGTAATCAAGTATCCATACAGCAAAATGTTAACAAACTTTGCTGCCCACAAAAAGTAAGGCTGAGAAGTAAGTGCCTTCTTAAATGGCCTACCCCCGCACTTCCTGTAGCTTCTGGCACCCCTGCCAGTAACAATTTGCTATTTATAATAATGTAAAAATTTTATTTACTAGAAATTAGTTGACAAGTTAACTTTTATATTTTTTGCAGCATTTAGAAAGTGTTAAACAAATTTTCCCTGAGGAAAAATTGAAGAGAGTTGAAGATTTAACCGAAGAATTTAGGGTAATCTCTTAAACATTTCTCCTTATATTTTACTATCTACTGTTATACATGAGTTTTTCCTGTGATCTGGTAGATCCAGCCTGGGCGTAGCGATTGGGGGGGGGGGGGCTCAATCAGGGGGTGCCTTACCCCCCCCCCCAACGTTAAGGTAAGGTAATTAATAGCTTTATTAGCATGACCATAAATTTACAGTATTGCTAAAGCATTACAAACAATATATAGAAGAAACTATGATAAACTAGGACTAGCCTTAGAAAAATAGATCGAGGTAGGTAAAGCTTTGCTGTTTTTACTTTACCTTATATTCTGTTATTTGTTTTTATTTTGGTGCCGTTGTGCTCGCACTGATTATTTATCAATTATCAGGCGCTTAATATTTATATATCGTCTGAAAGGCAACGCTATCATAATACTAATTTTTTATATGCCCCCAACGTTACGTATGTCGGCACAAGTTGTCGGCCATGAAATACCTGTACAGAATCTAGCCACACTGTGGACCGGTTTGAAATGAAGGTGAATTGCCATTGCTCTAGTATAACATAGTGCAACCTGAACCCTACCAAAGGCCTATACTGTTTGATTTTGTTTGTCCCTTAGTTGTTCAGAACATTTACAATATTGATTTGTGATTTCCACTGTTGCGTTTTTCCTACGCACGTAAAACTTTGAATCCTTTTATTTTTTAAATATTTTACAAATAAGTTAACAAATGCATACTAAAACTTGCGGAACACTAAATTCTGTTGCTTTATTTATTTGGTTATTTCATAAGTA